ATTTTATTAATTAAATTTTCTGTATTTATCCTTCTTTTTTATTTCACACAAATTTGTTTGGAAATAACACAAAAAAAATTCAAATTTAAATTGTTCTTAGTGCTCCGTTTAACTTAAGAACCCTTGTATGTTGTAAAAATACTACATCACATCTTTTTAAATGAAAGAAGAGCTTCTTTTAAGATAAAAGAGTGTCTATCCTAGTTTAAAGATCCCATGCGGAATAGCTAAAAATTCCATCTCAAAGATACTCTTGCTGAGAGCATGAAATTGCAATTTTTAAGGATGACATAACTTAAATTCTTATAAAAGGTCTCGCACCAAGCATCTCCCATCAAGAAAGTTTCACTTTATTATTTAGAAACAATTTTCTTAACAAATAGGCAGAGTATAACATGGTTCTAATGAATCCTTGATATGCCTAAAAACATAAAAAATATACGAGAGGTTATCAGCCAACCTTAATTAACTCAAAAAGGCTTGGGTGCTCTAAGTACTACTATTTTCTAAATAAAATCCCTTAAAAATAATATATGGGGTATTGTGAAAGGCCATCGATAGGAAAATAAAATAAAGTACGACCTCAAATTCTTGGTTTGCAAATCATGAATAATGACAATCAAATACCTTTTACCAACATAGAATTATTATTTAACGTTAATCACTCTGAAAAAGTAACTGCAGCTAAAATCTAAGAAATAATATCTCTTAAAATGGTAAAAGAGTAACAAACATTCATCAAAAGCTATTTAGAGATAACAATCTTCACAAAATTAATATATGTTTCTACTGGAAACAAGTAAACTTGGGTTTAAAAATTCAAAAATCCATCACATATATTCACCTGTATTCTCCAAACATCCTCTCCATGGGGCTGGTTATGTGCGCCATCCAAACTTGTCAATCCTTCAGCCATCATCCTTTCCATGTTCTGAGCCTGTCTCTCCACAACAACCATATACAAGCCTATGCTTCAAAATTCATAAGTTTAATATATTGCTAAAAAAAATCAAACACGAAGTGCATAACAAATGCTGAGAAAACCAGTTCACCTACTGCACTGCTAATTGCGCCAAGCCAGGGAATCCTCTGCGACCATTTTTCTCCCACAAGTCCTCTCATCCCCATTTTAATGACGCTCAAATAAAAACTTATCTTCTCAAATCTGAAAATCATGGAAAACGAATATAATCAAACCCTTGAATGCGAACGAAAACAGTAAAACAAAGTAATCAACCTAGCAAGAAATCCAATATTGCTAAAGTTTTGGCCTTTCACGAGCGTTTGCAAGCTTTCCCATCGTTGGCTTGGAGTAGAAATAGAGTTTCGCTAGCTGTGTAAGCTTCCTGTTCGAATGCAATGGGCCAGAGGCTACCCAAACCAAAATCCGGGACAAAGAAGTAGGGCGCGAACAGGCTTACCTTCTTCAATGGTTTCTAGTCGGAACGGTGCGGAAGGATGAGAAAGATAGGAGTTTCGGTGGTCTCTGGAAGCCGCGATCCCTTCGTTGCCTTCCCAGCTAGAAACGAGGGCATCGGGGTAAAAGGGTAGCTAATAAACGCGGGCCGCGGGTCCCGCCGCCGCGTTTATTAAAGAATCGATTACGCCGTTTTAAAAAATGCATTTATCAAAGGGGAAGACGACATTTTCAAAC